CGCGGCAGCAGGTCCTGCACCCCAGCAGTGACAGGCGAAGCACCTGACACACTCCTATCATAGGCAAACGAGGACTTCCCAGGTCCGTCGTTGGCAACCCTCAGACGACGTTTGTCATGCGGGGGGGGGGGGGACAAGCCCCACAAACGGGGAGTCCGCCGCAGCCGTGCCCCGCGCCTGTCCAGACTGAGCGGCTGACTGCCGCGGCCCACCAGCCGCTGCCGCCGGCTGCATCACCACGACCACCACCAACAGCGACGCTAGAGTCGGCTTGGCCGAGCCGGTGGCAGATCAGGCCGCTGTTTAAGCCATTTATCGCTAGGTGACCTACTGCGGCCAGCAACCTTTCACAGCATGGCTCGGCGTGGACTGTAGATGACACTTTCACTTCTTATGGCCATTGCTCGGTAAATGCCGTCTGGCGCCCTGTTTCTGAGACGTTACTGAGCGACCGAAGATATTTTCTTAAATGGTTTGACCTGGGTTGGACGGCTACTGTATGTACCTTGCTTGTTGCTCGAATTCCTTCTCCTGGGGACTTGTACTTACATCTGGAAGTTCTCACAAGCAAAAATAAAAGTACACAAAAGATAACAACAACACTTATACAAACATTCATAAGCCTCTGCGGACATAAACCCGTTGATGCGCCTGTCCATCCGTTCGGCACGCATGTACAGGTGTTCATTACTCATGCTATCCGATTCGCGGTCGACTTTGAGCGACTGGTGCGGTCAGCAGTTCTGGAATACGTGCCAACGTCAGCGACAAATAGCGGCAGGTGATTCCGCTGGAAGTAGATCAAGCACACAGGGCGGGACCTTGGATGACGTGCTTGTTTCCTCCGCAAATTCCGTTTAGTTCCGACAGTTCGACCGAACGCAAACAGACTTCCGTACTCCTGCCCTTGGCGTCCATGTTTTCCCATGTGCTTGCATGCGACGTTTGCTCGGGCTCAAAAGTTATTGCAACTGTGCATACCGGTGCCGGTTTCTTGCCGCCAGACATTTACGGGTCTCGGGAATGCAAAAATGGTTACATGAACGATCGAAAAAGAACGCTTGACCCAAAATTCGGAGTTCCGCTTGACATGCCGTCTTCGTTTGGTCACCAAGTGTTGAGACGCTCTTTAATGGTTGACGTATCCACTCACTAGATTTCTTTAGTACGAATACATAAGAATGAGAGCGTAACGGGCCCGGAAATCTTGCTTCCATTTCTGAACTACAATCTCAAGCAGACGACTATGGCAATGGCAGTGGAACGCAGATGCATGGCGAAGGTAACCTTGCTGGCTGGCATCATTTTTAGCCGGCAGTCACATCTCGCTCGTCGGTAAGCCTCGATGGCACGGGCGCTGACATGGCATCGCTGGATGACTACAGTATATATGCCAAAGAAGGGCTCAGTGCCTCGATTGCCATTGCAAATGTTACACACCCAAGCGAGAAACGTACTACAAACGACAAATCTACTGATAATGATTTGGGGTTTTGGGGCGCATCGGCTGCTTTAGGTCATGCAGCGCCCATAACTATCCTCTTACGCAGAGTCGCAAATCAAACAAGTGTATCAATCAGGTCATCCAATTTATGCCTTGATGATCGGACCTCGTATTATGATGAAAAGATTACTGGGATATCTACAGCGCGAAGGAACTGGAACACCACCAAACTCGACAGCCTGCGAACAATCCCTAAGTGACAGCGTGCAACCCTGTACGTTATGTCCGAAAAATGTACTCTCGTTGCAGTAAGGTGACGGCAAGCAACGAGTATGTGATGCACGGTCAGCGGGTCAGAGCATCGACTGCAGCGTGGTCTGGCGCCAGCCAAGAACAGGTGACGGTGCGTGGCATATGTGTGACCCATGCGTAACCGGCAAAGGACAACTTCCTCCCTCCTAATGTTGCGAAAACTCGACTACCATAGCCCAATACGAGGCTTCACTGACTTCAGCTTGTTGGCGCTCAGCGAGTCCCAGTGGAATTGTCATCGCTTCTGCATAGACAACGACACTGCGGAGTACATGTCTTGAGCTGGCAGTGGTGTTATAGGAATGCGTGTCCCTGTCGTAGCGCGCTTTGCTGCCGCGTCGGCGAGATAATTTCCGCAGATGCCCACATGACCTGGGATCCAACACAGCTCGACCGTTTCTTCTGCTCGATCCAGTGAGCTAAGACGCAATTGAATGCCCTGCACCAGTGAATTCGATGAGGAGAAGCCACAGGCCAGGAGGCTGCTCAAGGAGTCGGAAAAAATTAAATGCAAATTGCCATCGTCTTCTTCAATAAAGCAGAGAGCTTTGCTGATGGCCATAAACTCAGAAATTAACACAGACGCGTGCGCAGGCAGTGTGAATAACCGTGTTATGGATAAACACACAAAAGCGCATCCTACACCTGCATCCGTCTTTGAACCATCTGTGTAAGTCATCACACCGACGACAAATTTACTGTTTAGAATGACAGCATTTAGCTGTCGGGGACGGCAGGCTGTATGGCACGCTATTTCGTGGTCACCAAATCCGGCCAGCCGTCCTGCCGGTGTGCCGCCGGTCGCCGCCGCCCAGCAGCGCCGAGCCGGGGCGCGCGCGGACCCACGTACCGTGCGGCGGGCTCCTCCAGGCAGCAGGAGGGTGACGCGCAGGGGGCGGCCGCGCTGCGGCAGCATCTCGCGGGACCAGCTGAGTTGCCGGCTGACCAGCAGCGACGACGAGCGCGCTACCATCGACAGGCGTCGCGAGAGACGTCGGCCCAGCGTGGGCGGCCGGCGCGGCGCGGCGCCCCGCCCCGCCATGGCCTCAGCCGTCCACCGGGGCCGACACACCGCCGCCGCGCCGCAGCACCGGCCGGCACGTGCACTGGGGGCGTCGGCGCCGCGTACCTCGGGAGGAGTGCGTCCCCGGCGCGTCCGCCAGCAACACTGACTGATTCGGGCTGCAGCCGGCGCCGGGCGTCGTCAGCTGGCCCGGCGTGACGTCACGGTCAGCAGGCAGACGTCGCGGCGCCGCGGCTGAGACCGGCTCCAGCGCCAGAGCGCGTGGCGGTCACCAGCGCAAGTTACTAAGTTTTTTCTAACGCGGACCCCTCCAACGGCAATTCAACACAAAAGAGATTGGTATGTGCTGTTCATCTGGACCTGACCTTGGCAGTGCAGGCTGACAGTGCCAAGTGGCGATGGCCAGATGTTACAAGTGTTACAAGCGTACCAGGTCCAGCTGGGATCAATTTGCGATACGAGACATTCAGCAGGATATCGTTTATTGTTCACACTATCTCTACCTCGTAAGATCAGATATTCTAAGCTCCAAACACCAGCATCGTCTAACAACACAGACAGATCAAAACAAAATAAGTTACAAAATAAAGTTATCGTTAAAAAGCGACCAACAGTGGAAGATGCTATGAGCCAACATGGCCGTCATCGCCTACGCAAGAGCGGATTGTACATCATTTACGGAAATAAAGCGCACACACACCAAGGTCATCTCTACACCATTCGCACAAACCTTGGTACCAGTTTGGCTCCTACCTGTAGGCTGTTCGCATTGGCTACACTGATAATGACGTCACAACGCGGCCTGTCCTTTCTACATGCGTCGCCTCACCGACCACCGACCGAACAAAACGAGCTTGGCCCCAACCGCCGGCTACATGCGCCACACCGCTGCGTAGGCGCCCCGGTTCTGGCCGGGCCCAGGTGCATTGGTTATCGACAGCGCCGGTATCGATATCGAGCCCGCCCGACTTCGCCCGACGCCCCAAAGATCCGGAAGCAGGCTGCCAGAGCACTCGGCTCTCGACGGACATACACGGGCTTCGCTGGCGTGGCCGGCTCGTGACACACGTGACACACGTGGTGCTGGCGGCCGATACGTGCCGTCCTTCACCAAGAGTGGGCACACGCAACACCGCTTCAGCGCGGAGCAGACCGCGCGCCGCCGCGCAGTTTCATATTCGTTGGGGCAAGACCCGCCGCCAGCAGCAGTTTTAGTTTCGGATACAAGTGGGGTCAAACTCTGAGGAGGTAGCAAAATTGACGGGGGAGTAACACTGCATAATTTACCCTACCTCCTGAACGTGCAGACCTCCGGCCCCGCTCCTCAGGCGTCCGGAACAAGCCCTACCAGAGATGAATATACGCAGGCGCTTATTGAACTGAGTGCGTACACGTCACACCGACTTAAGTTCTGAATGACAGAAGCACCATCAAACCATCTTAATCACGACCATATGAAAATCGCGTTTGACAAGGTACTTGGGTGCCTTCTTTGAACCATGTCACTACTACTGGCGAGAAGTTTCAGGATGTGCAATTGGAAACAAAACTTCGTAACAAAAGCACGAGTAGGTGCAGGATCAACAGTTTAGCTCTGAGGTTTGATATCCGTGAATGCTCATGCTGCGCATGCCTGACACAACCAAAATCTGGAAGACGGGTGTGCCGCTGTTGTCGACATTACGCCCACCATACCGCCATGAGGGAAGCTCGCGATCAGGCGACACTATTTGGAATGAGAAGTTTTTTAAGCGGCGTTGGGACTGCGGGAATCGGATCAGAACAAGCTCCGCTTAATTCAGTCAGTCCAAGCACCACGCACTTCCGAAACTCGGGGCAAGTGAATGTCCCCTTAATCTACAATCTCTGCCTTTCATCTGCGCAGGTTTCAGAACCATGCCACTAATGCTGTTCAATGCCAGCTACTCACAAAACGCACAAACAACAGCCTCCGGACATCAAGTCGACTAAGTGTCTTCCGAAGGAATTGCATGTACTATGCCGGGGTTGTGCTTGTTGAAGCCTTCCTCGGCAAAAAGCATGTAAAAAACAGTCAGCTACCAGACACAGTATGACAGCGCAGGTGAGTACAAGGTGGTGGAAAACCAACAAGAGGACTAACGACCGCGACGTTGAGCCCGTCCCGGCGCGGCTCCAGACGCCTGGCCGACGAGTATCGCGGCAGGCGCCGCCGGTCGCCCGCAGGCCCGGCCTCACCTCCTACATGGAGGTGAGCAGCTCCTTCAGCTCGGGCGGCTTCTTCTCGTGCACGCGGCTGTGCTTCTTGAGAATGGACGGCTGCGTGAAGCGCTTGCCGCACAGGTCGCATCCGAACGGCCGCTCGCCCGAGTGGACGAGCAGGTGGCGCCGTAGGTTGAAGCCGTTGGGGAAGTCGCGGCCGCACACCGAGCAGCGGAACTCCTGCTTCACCGGGTGCGGGTGCAGCTGGCGACAGTGGCGCCGCAGCTCGGTGGCCGTGGTAAACACCAGCTCGCAGTGGCGACACGGGTTGTCGCCGCCGTCGCTGTGGTACTGCTGGCGGTGCTCCGAGAACAGCGTGAAGCAGGGGAATGTCAGGCCGCACGGCGCGCACGCCAGCGGCGCCGTCTGCGGGCCCGACCGCATGTGCGTCTTCAGATGGTCCTTGAGCCGGAAGGCGCGCGTGCAGAACTCGCAGCTGAACGGCTTGACGCCGGCGTGCACGGTGCTGTGCCGCTTCAGGTTGTACTTGTTGCGGAAGCGCTTGCTGCAGGCCGGGCAGACGAGGTCGCTCTCATCGGCGGGCGAGGCGTCGTGGCTGGCTGGCGGCTCGCACAGCAGCTCCACCTCACACTCTAGCCGCTCCTCGGCCGGCTCGTCGGGCCCGCCGGCGCCCTCCTCGTGCGGCTCGCGCTTGACGTGCGCGTGCCGCTCCAGCGGCGACTGCAGCGGTGCCGGCATCGGCTGCCGGCGGAGGCGCGGCGCGGCGTCACGATCACGCAGCGGCAGGCCGCTCACACCGGTCACGTCACGCCATTGGGAGGCACCACCAGTGAGCTGACGGGAACACCCCACCAGCAGAGACCCACTCCATGGGAGGGCACCACCAGTGAGCTGACGGGAACACCCCACCAGCAGAGACCCACTCCATGGGAGGGTGCCACCAGTGAGCCGACAGGAACACAAACACCAGCCGAGATCTACTAAATGGGAGAGTACCACCAGTGAGCTGACAGGAACACCCATATGGGTCACGCCCCACTCAACGGGAAGGTTCTGTCAGTCAGCTGACAGGAGCGATGACAATGGTACCGTTCCACTCGCACGGAGCAGGGGTACAGTCATCCCATTGACAGAATCACTCACAAAGCTCCAAACCTCTCACTGGTCAGACATCAACCAGAACGGGGTCATCACAACACCAACAAAGGGTGGGAGCCGTGCCCCTGAGACCATATGTTGAGGGGGAGGGAGCGGGGAGGGGAGCGTGCGAAACTCCTCGCTGTTGTGTAGTGACCCAGCTCGCTGCACAACAGTCAGCACCACGGGCACTCCTGTTGTCTTTGCTGCGTTGCAAAACGAGGCTTTTGTGTGTCCCGAGAGCGTATCAATCCATCGTACTAGGTACATTGGGACGACATAGCTCCAAGCAAATTTTCCGCACTAGTATAGTTAAACCTGTCTTCACATGGAACTTACAGAGCTTCACCCACTGGCAACATACTGGCCTTGGGGCTCTGGCTATACGTGACAACTCATGCGTTGTCTCTGTCGTGGTAAACCCATGTAGGCTTATTTTGTGACCCACGAGGACATTGGCAAGGGGGGGGGGGCAGGGTAACCACAAACGGATAGCCCTTGCGAACTATCAGTCGGCCGAAAGGAGGTATCACCGGTCTCTGTGATGCGCCGACAGGGTACCAGCAAAAAGTGAGCGGCACCCAACTAAGTCAGTGGAGATTACGGAACACACGAATGCTGGATGCCCTCATGCGATGCAGCTCCGCAACCTTCCCCTTCTCCCATATGGAACACGTGACCCCGACCTCGTCCTCTGAACACCTGCCAAACGCCTGCTTTTCGGTGCCGTGCTCTCCAACGTAGAACCACTGAGAACTGACTGAACCATCTCTTGCAATACACCTTAACCAATACAATGATCTGATTTCAGACGCACTCATACTGGAGTTCGCCAGACCAGTACACGAGCCTGCGATTCGTCAAGAATAACTACGAAAAGCTGTCAAACCTGGAGCTCTCCAAACTTTTCTGCGCGTATTTTCAGCATGTCCATGAACTTTCTCTTGATCTCTTCGCGGATCTCAATGATCTTCGTTTCGTACGAGTCGAGAGTCATGATGACAGCTGAGCATGCCATACAGATATACTGAAACAGCGTAGATCATCGTCATCACCACCCGAGGACAGCGACAAGTCATCACACCGTACACAGGTGCAGAACAGCAGACACGCTGTCAACACAACCGGAGAACAGCATGAACATCAACACAATCCGAGAACAGCCAATGCACGTATCACGCATACGACAAATGACATGGCAACAGCAGGCAGACAACGCAGCCAGGACAGAGCCAGCACACTGTGAACACCACCAAAACAAGCACAATATGTCAATGAAATCACCGGAAATGAGCAAACATGCCGCCAACACATCCAATATGACGTGAATACAACAGCAAAAGCGGAGACGTCACTGATACTGCCGGAGAACAGCCCACTCAGCGGAAAACAGGAAAGCCGACGCTCGATGCCAACGAGGGGGGGGGGGGGGGCAGCAGGTATGCTGTCACCACCATGGGAAAACATTAAAAAACAACAGGAAACAACCAGAGAACAGAAAACATGGCGTTCCAGCCATGACAGCATACTGAGCAGCAAACAAACCACAAAAATCCCTGGAGCAAGCAAGCAAAGCACACCCTTGACAAGCCATGCAAATAGATGAGAACCTTTGCTGTGGATGCAATGCATGCCTGTAGATTGGTGCTATTGCTAACAAAATGAAGTGGTGCTAACAAACCAAAAACAAAAATCGGACAGCATGGTACACAATATACATACAACACAATGCGTGCTTTCCGGCCAGGTGGCCAGAAAAGCACTTTTCCCTTAAAGCACGCCAGCTGCCACTATACATCATATTGGTGTATAGCGACACCATACCATCATACCAGCCACATTTTGCTCGTCAAAACCTAGCACTTGCAATAACGGTAGTTCTTATGATGGCTGCTGTGTTCCATTTCAAACACGAGTGACATTCAAGTACATTCTGAACCGCACCGACAGACCTCCGCCGTTCCTTCCCTTAGAGTTGATTGTTAACACCACTCTACGAATGCACGAGCATTAGGCACGCCCGCCTCGCTGCCCATCCCAGAGACGGGAAGAGGGTGCGGGCGGTAGGCGGCCCACCTTCATCTGCCAGTGGTGGGCGGCAGCGTGCAGCGACACGCCACAGCCTGGCTGCACCACCAGTCTCTAGTTTCTCGGCCAGTGTCTCCTGCGTGCTCGGCAGCCGGAAGCCGTTGATGTCGACGCCGGTGGGCGGCTCGGCGGCGCACGTGATGTACGAGTCGCAGAGGATGCAGCGTGAGTCGGGGCCCGTGTGCGGCGGCAGCGGCTCAGCGTACGGCACACAGCCGCCCGGACCGGCTTGTGATAAGTATGTGCCCAGGTCCTCCATCATGGCGACCGCTGCCAGGCAGAGCAAATGGTGTCATGTGAGGACATGTGCTCACTGGCACTAGGCTGGTGGCAGTATGTCCAAAGCATATAAGCCCAAATGAACCATACTCTGATAATTCCTCATGGACAAACAATGGAGTGAAAGACTTGGTAATCCACTACCATAGGACCCTATACAAACTATTTCCCAAGTTCCCCTGAAGAAGAGGCCCCATATGTACAGCAAACACTCACTGATACAATTCACAAACATTTCTGGGGCATCTGTGTACATCTTTGATATCATCTATTGACCTTCATAACTGCACCAGAGGCAAAGATGCACCATTAAGAAAAGTAAACAATGAAAGGAAAACCTATGGACAATGTGTCACATTCTCATACCATTAAGATCCAGTTAAGGTGGTGATATAAAATCATGCATCCACATAACCAAGTATCTCCTGCAAAAGTGTGCACATGATACAAATCCACATTTCTGAATGGCTGGTGACCTATGGCATTGAATTTTCAAAATACCATATAGTTTTACTTCACTGCCAAACATCTTGCCATGGAAGGAATGTTGAGCCATACCCCCTGGAGTTGTATGGCTTTCATGAGCACAAGGTGGCCCATGATAACATGGTTGGCTGCATTTTGGCTATAAACTGAATTTATTGTATAGAAAAAACAAAAGCATACTTCCATAAATTGTACATAAAAAGTGGATGCAATTGCAAAATCAAGCAATAGAACAAAGCGGGTGATTGTTTTAAAACCCGCCACCTTCAAATCTCAGAAACAAGGAAGACTATCCATCAATATCTTTCCAAATGTCTAAGAGTTGTCCACCAAATCTGAAAAATTGTGCAGAGTGTGTGATGGAGTACTCAACAAAACTGTGTACTATCTCGGCATCAAAGAATACTGGTATGTGCTAAAAATATGCGATCACACAAATGCTTGAATTAATCTACAACACTTTTTCATCCTTGAACTGTAAGATTGTGCCACATTCACAGGAACACAGTAAATCTACCTTAATGATGCGTTTCACAATAATAGTGTAGTAACACAGTTAGTTTTTGTGACATGCATTGCCTGCTTAATAGGTACGTTATTTGGCAAGCTCAAGACCGCCCCAGGGACAGTTCCAAACTACAGAAGCTGAAATGCATGTATGTTAGATACAAAGAACCTAGTGTAAACAAATGCAACTACTTTCTGATCAGCAAATGTGGCAAGCAGACCAATACCTGAATAGAACTAACTGAACAGCTCATTAAACACCACACAGCCGGTGCTCCTTGTGACATACCTTTTAACCCTGGCCAAACTCCACTACGGTCCACAAAATGAATACCAAGCCAATCCAGCGGGACCAAGCTAGAGGGAATACACGATTGACGGCAATTCTAACAACACATAGTGAAATCCACAGCAAAGTTCTGCACTAAAGAATGCCCAGCTAAAACTGGGAAGCCCTGAACGGATGTTGCACGTGACGTTAGTTCACCTTACAAGAAGTGTTATCGCAGCCAATTCCAACCGAATCGGTTTCTAGGCCATCGCTCATCACTGAGATAAGAAGCGAGCATCAGAAATGTAGCCGTCGCATCAAGGCGGCGAATGCGACGCGATCCTGTGGCCGTTTTCAAGGGGAGATACTAGACGACCGACGAAACATGTTGACAACTTATGTTCCGAAACATTGCACGGCACGACACCAAACCTTCACCATAAGATGCCGCCTAGTCGACAAGATTTTCCCAGAGTATGAGGTTTATGTCAGGTCAAATATCACTAAAAATTCCCATCGACAAAATACGTTTCCAGACAGCCACAAGCTCCTAATCTATGGGATGCATCATTACAAAACCTTCCCCAATCGTTGTACCATGGTCGATGGCACAATCGCCCCGGGGGGTCAGTGACCTTCGGCCAGGTCAAAGGCCATCGGAAACACTCAACACCACTAAAATTAGCTACAGACAACCCCATGGTTCTAGTCTATTGAACCGATTACCACAAAATCCTCACCTATCGACGCACCATGGCCGATAACCTATCCTATACAGAACATGGTGACCTTTGGCGGGTCAAAGGTGACCAAGCATGCCTTTGATGAAATCAGAAAAATTAATTGTAGACAGTACCAAGCTCTGAACCTATAGGAACGATAGGATCAACCCATTGGTAAGCTCGTGCGTTGCATATGCACACGCCGTGCCAAATGACTTTTCTATTTCTACATTTTTCCTTTAAATACTTTGACTGTTGTATGACCACGCGACGACACGCAAGCATTCGGGCAATATATTCACAGCATGGCACGTCTTCTATCATTGACGTATAAAATACTTGAATAGGTGAATGTTTTCTATTTTAATGTTTGCGACTTCCGCAGCAACAACTACGCATGCAAAACTGGCAGTCATGTCTGCATTTACTGTGCGTGCTGCTGACAATGTAAACTGCACTCCACCCTGTCTAAAAGGCATATCGCACTTTTTCTTCACCCTGGGCGGGCGAATTGACTTGCTAAGCGTAAGATAAACTGATGATGATGATTTGGGGCTTTGGGGCGCATCGACAGCTGTAGGTCATACAGCGCCCATAAGTCAAATTCCGTTGCGCCATTTCTGTCCCTTTTTATAGCAAGTAACCGAGAACAATGCGCCTGCAAAGGCGCTAAAATATTTGTTCACAAATGCCATGTCAATCAATCGTCAATCAAAATCGTCAATATGCTCTTAATATTGAACACTGAAAATCATCTGTTTGTAGAAAAAAACATTTCGAATGCCTGTGGTCGGTCCTTGTTGTATTAGTCAATACGAACACAGAACGGTACAATAATCTTTCGAGTATGACGTCATAAATGACGATAGTATCAAGTCAGTCGTCTGAGCCGTTCTGGGTACCCACTTAAACTGTTTAACTCGCAAATATTTTTTATGACATCAACTAGAATGTGATTTTGGAGTAGCTGCAAACATATAAGCCGTGGAATCTAACCGTATGATGTCACTAATGACGTCGAAGGTACAAATTTTTTGTTGTTCGGATCGCTGTGAACACGTGAAGTTTCGATTACGTTGTAGTCAGTGAATAAAAAAAAGTGCGCGTGGGAGCGTGGTTGATTATTCGGTGGATTGAGGGAGGCACGTGCGCGGGACGTGGCCTGTGAAGTCGGGACCGAGGGAATCGTTCGTGATTTTCATCTCACTGCTGGGAGGAGCACTTGTCATTAGCTAGTTGCCTGGCTAGCAAGCAAACGTCAACATGAAGCTTCTCACGCACAACATGCTCACGTCAAAATGTTTGAAAAATGTGGTCAGCGGATATCCTTTACAGATTTCGATCAACTCGGTAAGATGTACCATGGGTTAAGAAACACCTAATTATTTAGGGCATTGTACCTCCCCTATTCTGAAAGAATGCTATGCTGTTGGACTGAGATGCACATGCCTGCTTTCCATTTATCAATGATTGGGTTCAGACATCACTGTGCATGTTGGGGACTCATTGCCAGTTTGCAAAAAATCATCATGTACTAGATGCCTTCATGTCATCAGTGAGCTGAACAATGCACCTGCGTTTGCGGAACTTGCAGGCCAGTTGGAGTTGTGCTCATTTGGATCATCATTTTTTGAAGGTCTTTGAAATATTTATGCATTTGCATACCTTTGCAGCATCTTAATACCCTGAAATGTTGGCACTATGCACTGTTCTGGATGATGACCTGCACCATCCAGGATGCTGAAACCCAATAATCCATTTTTGTAGGGAGCCTGCAGTTTGTACCATGTGTGACTGACATTGAGTACAAAATCTTATCACTTTTGTGTAAGATGTCTTCTAGTACCTACACTGAAAACCCTATGTGGTAAATGAGTTCTATGGATGCCATATAAGCTTCATAGAGCAGCAGCAGGGGCATACTTTTGTATTCAGTTAGGTATTCTTCAGCCATTTCCCAACTTTGAGAAGAAATGAGGTGAAAATGAGATGGGATAAGATTGTTAGTATCCTTTGGAGGTAGGCTGCATTATTTTCATTGCTTAACCTCCAAATTCCTTCTGCAAAACTCACCCCCTAGAGACCACTAAGGGTTAATAAACATTTAATGATGCCCTTTCATGCTGCAGTGCTCTGAATGACACATGTCAGTTGGAAAGGATAGCAGGCGTGTGGTGAAGTCCAGCAGCAGGCTGTTATTATTTACTTTCCTACATGTCCTTTTCATATTATATTCATTTTTAGTCAGACTGGAATAGAATAGCAAGTGGAGATTTCCCCCTAAACTGCCCTGTAGCCTCACAGCTTGATATACCAGAGGCTGTAAGGATGCACAAGGTGACAACACTACAATGATCTGACCAATGCCTGTGTAGCATGGTAGCTGACCTGGATCAGGGCAGTCCTGCTGCATGCAAAGGACAGACTAGACTCTGCTCAGTGACCCAGCCCACATCTACTGGGATCAAGTGGAAAGGTTGCATTGCATAGCAGTGTATTAAGCTAATCTTTGTGTACTCCATAATATTGACCAGTCCGTCTCTTGACTTGCAAAGTGCATTTGTGTGGAACATTATGCCTAAAGATAGCACACTGAAGAGCCATATTCCTTGTATAATGATGGGGAGAATGGAGAGATAGATTGATATGTCAGGTACATGCCTTTATCAAAGCAAAATTCAGTAGTAAATGTTAAGTTAGTTGTAAATACCAAGTTACTTCTGATATTTGTTTCAATAAAGGCATGTAACCAAAATATCAATCCATCTACATCTCCATTCTCCTGATTATTTTATGAGGAATAAGGCTATTAAGTACAGTCTTGTTTCATAACAAATACAGCAAGCTCTGTTTGGTCAGCTTCTTAAATCCAGTGAGAGCAAGTCCAAACTTTGAGCACTGTCTGTCCCCCAAGAAAAGACAGATTGCAAGGGGTGTGGTGCTGGCAAGCTTTAGTCTTGGTGAAACCAAATTAAAAGTCATGGCTTTGCTCACCTTGCAGTCTCAAATACTGGAACTATGCCACACAGGACCAGCACATAGGCACAGGCAGGATGTACTACCACAGGTCAATGAAAGTTGTGCTTACAGGCATCAGGAACTCCCCTATAAATAACAAGCCAGATTATTGTCAGTCTTGGTTCTCATACCTGCATGCTCTGAATCTATTATATGGATGCATTGTGACCCATTAATAGCAATTTATTTGCTAAGTTTGCCTTATGTTTGACTGCAAAATTTGAAGTACCTATTGCCTCTTTCAGCCAGAAGATGTGAAGGTGCAAGAAGTGGACTTCAATCCAGAATTCATAGCAAGAATCATTCCAAAGGTGGACTGGGATGTGCTATGCAAAACAGCTGAAGAGGTAGGATAACATAAATTATGCCTTAAAGATTTCCAGAACTAAAGGTTTGTGACAATTTTGAGTTTACAGATTGTTTGGTTTTTACAGGGAACATGTTTTGCACCAATCACATTTTTAGGATGATGTCACTTCACCAGATTACATTCAATGCCACTTGCCTTCTACCTGGCAGGTACTCCATGCAATTGCCAGCTAACTGCCATGTGGTGGGTGGGCAGTTTTTTCTGTGTGATTCAGACAACTTCCTTGCTGCACCCCTGTGGCAAATGCTGTTTCCATCTCTCAGCCACAGATAACTTTTTAAACTTATAGTGGGAAGACATGGAGTATGGAAAATGGTGATGTAGGGGTGCCATCGCCGCACCGTGATCTGTGCAGGCAGAGCTCCATTTTTATAGTACTTCCACTGACGACCATTTTACGATTGGCCGTAATTACGATTAATTATACGATTAATACGATTGGTAATTAATACGTATTGGTAAATACGATTGGTAATACGATTCCATATTACGCACCATCTTGACCTTCTAAGCCTTTAAGCAATAACATGTTTGCGCATAACTCATGCATGGCGCAATTTTGCGAACAAAACCTCTTCGCGACAGTACTGCAGTGCGTGGAAACTGCATTGGGGAAGCTTGCACGAGGCGTTATTTCGACTGGCGTAACTTTTGTAACAGAAACGTGTAGGTGGCAACACCTTCACGTCCAAAACTACTCATATGAAACGGCTGCCATGGTCAATGGAATGGTGTTACTGCTATCCGTCAAAGGCGTTACTGCCAAAGCTCCCACGTGAGGGTGATCCTGTCTCTCAAATGTCCACGCGACACACCTTCGTAATATTTTGATGGTTTTTAGCGGCGCGTTGCACGTCTCAGACCACTGAGCATTGCGACCACTCGCGCTGATCACTGAGACTGGCAAGCAGACTGCTGGCTATGGGCCCGGCGGTGGGCCTAGTCTGCGGCCGGCAAGCAGACTGCTAGCTATGGGGCCCGGCCGTGGGCCCAGCCCGCGGCCGGCAGACTGCTAGCTATGGGGCCCGGCCGTGGGCCCAGCCCGCGGCCGGCAGACTGCTAGCTATGGGGCCCGGCCGTGGGCCCAGCCCGCGGCCGGCAAATGGACCATCTTTCAACTCAGTTACACTTAACAATCCAGTCACATCGTCGCACGGCATGGAGCATGAGAAACTCCGCGACGACGCAGCACCGCTGCTGCGCACATCACAGGTCCTACCCAGCGTTGTCGACAACATTGTTTTTGTTCGTTTTTAAAAGCGCTTCCTGTGGCTTAAATGCATATCAGTATTGTTAGTCAAGGCATTGGGCCGAGGCTGTGATGTAGCGCCAAAGTTTTTCGGTGGTGGTCAAGTCGTGTGTGAGATTTGGTTGTGTCGGTTTTGGGCGTTGGGCATTGTATGGTGCATAGAAACCGTTTCACGTGAAAATGGTCTCTGTAGAAGCCTTGGCCTTTGACCTTATGCCAATCACCAATGGGATGCCAATCACTCTATCAGCTATCAGTAGGAGTTTCTGAAGGGCTTGTTGTGACGAGACATCCAATAGGTCAAGACAGCGAGTATATTGTTGCTCCAAGCGCATCCATCGTAATGAAACTGGCGCACCATTATATACATTCCTTTCAGGTTGGACACAAAGGGGACCTGCCTGCCACGTTGGACCAAGATTATGAGACGAATGAAGAGTTTCTGAAGATGGCTCATCATGTTCTTCTGGAAGTAAGTCCCAGTGGTTCCCGCTATAAAGTTTGCATTGATATAACGGTTTGAGACATAATTCAAATACCACTAAATGATAAATCACGTTTGCCTTGGCGAAGACTAGAGACTGTCAGGAATCGGGTCGTTTCCCCTTAACCCCATTTTTGAAGGGGTCTAAACAATGCCGTGGTTTTTTAGCCGTAGCAGTAATGATCTTATGTTTGTCCACGAGTTTGCAAGCAATTGTTGCCAGCGACGTCACAAGGTGTCACGCCGACTGTGGCGGGAATTGAAAAACAGTTGGTGGGAGGGCTCGAAACCGTCGTCAATGATACATTCAATTATGAACCAATTATAATCAGTTATACACAAGATGTTCATCGATCACAAACAAGCCAGCGCCATAGGCGCGCTGCTCTCGTGCCTGCTCCCAGAAATGCGCGGCTGAACGCGGCAGGTAGACATTTGCGTCACCAAATCAAATTTGCTATGTTTTGGAAAAAGGAAATAAAGTAAAACTATTATCCTGTAATACTGTGAAATGCGGAAAACCGCAGCGCGGTGGATCTGTTGGAAAGAATGTACGAGGAGATCCAGCAAACCAGGTTCAGTTTCAAAGTGCCATCCTGCATATACACTCCTATTGTTACCAGCTATAACCAAAATCAGCAAAGTTGCCTTCAAGACCTTCAACTGAAGCGTGTCTTAGGGAGCGTTTCACGGTGAGTTGCTGCACTGATACAGCCACGTTACAGAACCCTGAGATGTCCCTGCACGCGGGTAGCAGTCCCACAACGCCCGTGTCTCCGTCGCCGTCGCCGCGATCGGCTCGCCTCGGACGCCCGGCGACGCGCGGCCGGCGCCGATAACTGACGCTAGCGCCCTTCCGTCGCCAGGTGGAGGTGATGAGCGGGGAGCTGGTATGCCCAGAGACGGGCCGGAGGTTCCCAGTCACCGATGGCATTCCCAACATGCTGCTGAACGAGGACGAGGTGTGAACTCGTCGACGTCACTGCACCTTTCATTTTGATGTAACCCCGCCTGACCGTTCATTTTTGTCTTGTTAAATACAGATTACGCTTATCAATACGTCGGAATGCTCACTCAAGTGTCATTAAGTGGTCCGAATGGACCCATAACACGTTTGAGATTACGCAATTGCCTCAAACTAACTAAAGGCGAAACGAGTAACGGCCCGCTGTATATTCGGGGGCAGTCTGGTTTTATCGCCCGATGAAAAGTCCCGAAATACGGCTGCGGTCCGCATGTATTCACACCATTAATCCAGAGGGCGACGCACAAGGAGCCCAGTGTGTTGCGTGCTGGCACGCGCGCGGTCGCGGAGCACCCGGCCGGACACCACACAGCCTCAACAGCCCGCCGGGTCTACAGCGCGCCCCGTGCCCCGCCCCACCGCGTCACCGGTAAAATGTGCAGCGGCGCGCGTTCCCTGCGGCCGCTGACCAAACAGGCACTACGCAAACGTGGTCCCTCGACGATCACAGCTAACTGATTGTCTGATTGTTAGCGCAGGCTACGTCCCTCGGCCTGGGCCGCGCCAAGGGCTACGTTAACTATACCCCATTACAGGCAGTTAATTACAAAACTTAATTACGGTACGGCCACATGAAGGTCCAGGCGAAGTGAACGAGTGCCACGATGGCACAAACGTTTGCGCCACGCATGTGCATCGATTGCCACGTAGGAAGCGCCTAATTAGCTGGGTCCCGCCGTTCTCGACCAGCTGTAAAACGAGGGGCGATGCCCTCTGAATCAGTTATTGCATTACCGGACTGTAAACTATAAAAAAAGAAACAGAGCTGGAAGACACTAGCTAAAGCATTGCAGGAGAGCACACCAAGGAGAGCACACCAGCGCGCACACGATACAGCCTCTACGTAAAATGTTCTGTCAGCGCCAACAAAGCGCGAACGAAGCAGCTGCTAAGCACACCACGAGCCGCGAGACGCCGAGGCGAACGTGTCGGCGTCCGGCGCCGCGCCGCTCCGTTCCCGACACCGCCTCAGGCGTTGCGCCGAGCGCCGACAGCCGTCGGGACCGCTCGGCCGACCCAGCGCACCGGGGCCAGTTCACTTCTTGCCCTTGCTGTAGAACTTGCTGTTCAGGAGGAAGATAAGCAGGTTGACGTTGATCCGAACCCTCCCGAACATGTCCATGACGGAGGACGCCGTCGTACTGCAGATGCAGCAGCTCCTGGGGGCGCGGGAAGGGGTGGCACCGCGCGCGCTTCAACACGGGGCTTTCGAGCTGCTCGTTAGGGACACCCATAAGTCATCAGCAACCAAGGACTCTAGGGCGTAACGACATACGCGGACCAGCTGAAACGAGACGATTTTGTATCGTCGATTTTCTTGAGCGTATTTTTTCTGTAACTAGCACTGCAGCGTGCACATGTGAAAAGCTTCAGTCGACTACGGTCATTGCTTTGTACTGAACAGCAATGATAAACAGTCTTGCCGCGGAGCCCCACCGCTCACATACGAGCAAATCACGCATTCAACAGGTGAATAATGCGGCGCGTTCCAGCATATAAACTACGCATTCAACAGGTGCCAGATACCCTGAATTCCAAGGAGTAATACAGTCATAGCACAGGTGCAGCACATCGTATATTCATGGGTCACTCGAACATTTATGGGGTACAGACGCCACTGGCCACGGCCGTCTGCTATGAGGAGGGTTGGTTGACGGTGTCGTATAACGTCAACGACCGCACAAAATGCATCACTGGCCGGAGTGCAGCACGCGTCCGGCTATGTATGAACGCGGCAGGTGCTAAGTGCGGCCGTTAGACCAGTGACGTCGGCGGGCAGGTGGGGACGGTACCTGCAGGCTAATCTCCACCCGCTCGAGCTGCACGCCCCAGCAGCTTGGCGTTCACCTGGAACAGGCCCTCGGCCGCCAGCGGCGAGATCTTCGAACTGCACGCCCTTCAGCTGGGGAGCGGAGGCGCGCGCCGTCAACGGCCGGCGGCGGACGGACTGCTCTTGGCGAGCCCCACACCGCCGCTTGCCGCCGGCCACCCGGGGAGACAGGTGACAGGGCGACACAACGACGCCGACGTGGCGGCACGCCACCAGCTCCAGGCTGGGCGGGCGTGCGATCGGCCCCGATCACACCGTACAGCAACGGCAGAGGCCCGGCGTTACGCCCACAGGCGAGATCATCGGCTCGGTTCGTGGCTGCGGTCCACAACACCGAACCCGGCGTCCAGCACGTGGTCCAGCACTGCACGCGTTGCTATGTACACACTATTGACCGCAGCGAGGCGGCGATTGTCAGGTGGAGTTCTGAGGCATGGACCGGGAGCGGTGCTCTATTGACCGGCGGCAGGCGCCGGCGGGGAGTTCGTGACCGTCATGGAAAGGCCGGCGGTTGACGTGACCAAGGCCGCGCGGAATTAACACTTCCCATTAGAGGTCACGGGATTCCCTAACTGGGTAGCGCGGTGCCGTCCGCTGCCCGTCCGACCGATGGCCGCGGGCTAACATGATATACGGGGCCACACCAGTGAGCGGTGCCGCCCCTTTTTTTTAGTTTAAGTGCTCACATATACTAAAAACGTCCTATTCGGATATCAGAATTGTTGCATGCTCTGCTAAGTTGCATTCGGATTTAATTTATGGTGTCATATATGTTTGGGTCGAAAGCACATCAAGGCAAGAATTTGTTCCATTTCAAACACCACATGTGTAAATGCTACAGCTGAAAAGTCGCTTTGCAGCTCGCACGCAGCAAGTTGCACTTTCTTCCGATTCCCGTGGCACGACTCCTCTCTGACAGTGGTCCGACCCTACGGGGCCAACAGTCCTGTCCGCTGTGCTGTCTTCAACATGGACCCTGTGGCGGCGCGGTACAGGCGACCGCGGGGAACCGCCGCTGCGGCGCAGCATCACTGTCGCACCGTCACCGGCGCAGTGACCTGCGGCTCGCAGCACAGTGCAGAATCGTCACCGCTGTCCTGGATACGCTTAAGTTGAAAAGCTTCTTGCATGGATCACAACTGCGTCCCTCATTAAAAAAACATGATGTCAGTGTTCAGGGGCGCAAAATGACCATTGTAGTCGACGCATCCTAAAAACACCAATAAACAATAAAATCAGTATTGGCGGGGGAAGGGGCAGGGGTGCAGTTTCTTATTCAGTGGGAGGGGAGGGGGGGGGGGGAACGTCGGCCCCCGCAACTTGGGCTTCAGCCCCACCCTCCAACTTGGGCTCCAGCCCCTCAACAACTCGGCTGTACGGAGTACCCACCTCAGCCGGCTGCATTGCCGTCGATGTTGAGCAGCACGCCCTTCTCCTTGAGCCGGGCGGCCGTGTAGCGCAGCGGCGCCGCCGCCTTGGCCTTGTGGCGGCCGGCGCGCCGCCGCCCCGTCGCCATGCCCTGCAGGCACGTGGCCAGGTACTGGGTGTAGTACGAGGCCTGCTCCTGGTAGAAGGTGCGCTTCTTGTCCAGCGACGAGATGGTGCGCCGCAGCTTCACCAGCTCCTGCGGGGCGCGGCGACGGTGTCAGTACGGCCGCCGGTCCGGCCGGCCCCCGCTGGTCGCCGCGCGCCAGCCAGGGCGCCGCGTGACGCCACCGCCTTCAGCGCTCGCCGACCCGGCTGGGGTCATTTGAACACTTGACGAAATGATAGCCATCTTGCGGGAAGCGTACTATGTTAACACGGCCATGCCGAAACTGATCACACCTCTGGGACACGACCGCGGAGCCAGCAGGGCCTGTTACCGTCGGACTGAAGCCAGTCACAAGCGGGCAGCACCTACGAACACGAGAACCTGAGCGCAGGACTCCAGCGACTCGAGCAAATCAGCCGACGTTTGGGGCGCGATGATTTGAGAGCGCTAGTGATCAGTTGGCGTCGGCCTGTTCCGCCGCTGACCATCGAGCTGGCGGCCGACGGTGACCCCTGACCTGGCGCCGCTGCTGCCGGTGGCGCCTCTGGTGGACGATGTCGGCGGCCACGGCCGTCGAGCAGCGCCCGGTAGCCGTCGTCGCGGTGCACCACGCCCGCGCGCTCCAGCAGCCGCAGCCGCTCCAGCAGCGCGTCCTTGGCCTCCTCCAGCGTGGCGCTGCGGCGGGACGGCACGGCGTCACGCGGGCCTGCCGCCGGCCGACGCCCGGACCGCCCGGGGCGGGGCGCGCCGAGCACCGGTACACGGCCGGGGCAGGACCGCAGGAGACGGCAGAGCGCTAGGCCCCGTTGCGGACAGGATGGAAAACGATGACGTCATCCCAGCAACGTATACAACTGATGATGGTACCCCCTCCCCTCCCCCACATCCCAGCACAAAAAGTATCAGACAAGTGCAATCTTGAAGCATGGATCATCACGCACCACAAATCGACAGAAACAAGCGTCCTCGCTGACACCCAGAAGCGCCGCACTCCGACTCGCCCCGCCGGCGCGGCGCGGCGCTCACCAGGGCTGCGCCAGGAACGAGTTGTTCCTGTGGAGTCGCTGGTCGCCGTGGCGGCGTTTCTCGGCCTGTCCGCGCGCCTGCAGCAGCTCGCGGTAGTGGCGCTCCTGGAGCGCGGTCGGCTCGACGCGCGCGCAGGCGCTCACGTCCGGGTCCTCCGTGCAGCGCATCACGTCCCACCAGCAGCTGCTTACACCTGCCGCCACCAGCAGCCGCTGAGGCGGCACCACCACTGCCGGCCGACCAGCGCACAGCGCGGCGACGCCGAACAGCGGCAGTGGCGTCACAGCGCTGTGTCACGCAGCCGATGTGACACGCAACGGTGTCAGTGTGCCGCAGGCCACAGCAGTGCGCCACGCAGCCAGTGTAAGATATCTTCGCAGCACAAGCCGAGTCTCCTTTCAGCGCGCTCCTGCGGTTCAGCCGAGGCCACAGAGTTTACACGTGGCTACACTCCGGAACTCCTGTACCATATTTATACACATGCACACGTCGCACACCACACCGGCCGACATCCCGACCCAAGTGGCCCGCTCGGCAGCCGCCGCGGGTAGCCGTTACGCGCGCAATATGACCTTGATGCCGACGCGCCCTAAAATCTCAAACCATCATCATCAGCATCAGCGCCGCCGGGCGACGCGCTGGCCGTGCCCGCCGGCGCCACTCACTGCAGGAAGAGCTTGCCGGCGGTGAGCTGAGCCGCCTCGTCGGCTGGATCAACGCGCGCCTGCAGCGTCAGGCACACCTCGGCCCGCTCCGGGCTCGGGTGGTCCGGCTCCTCCCCTGCCGGACGCGGCGGCGGTCAGCTGGTGCGCCGAACACGCCCCGTGCGGGGGCTCAGGTGGGAGATGGCCGACGGGACGGGCCGAGGCACGTGTCATACGGCGACATTATCGTACTGCAGCTTGTTGTATAGGTCAAGGCGTCCAAGTCTTGGACAGAAGATTAGACCCGGTGGATCACTGAACAAATCTCTGCAACATAGATGCTTTAAAATAGAGTGGTTTCTCCTGTTTACGATAAGCCCAGCTCCGCCGGAACAAATAGTAAATATGTTATTTTGCCATCGGAGGAGGCAAAGCAAAACAACGGGAGGCATTCTCGCTTTTCAACGGCATTATAGTTGCGTGGGCTATTGAAAAGTCAGGAACCCTAAGCGACGAGAACCTTTACACGAGGCAGCTCATAGCTCGCACATTCCGTGCTTGGTCATCAGAATGACCACGGCACAGGCCAACCTGGCCGTTGCGACCTTGACTGACCTAGCACGCCGTCCAGCGACGGCTGGTCCCCGAGCTCCTCCAGGATCTCGTGCAGCGGGTCACTCTTCGATGGCGCCACCACCGACTCGTACTCCATCAGCAGCCGGTGGGTCTCACACAGCTCCTGTGCGGCCGCGCTCGCACGTTACGTCTCACAGTGCCGATACACGGACCACGGAACAAAGGTCCGCGCCCGGGGCCCGGCGTTGGCGCTACCGTCTCCCCTGCGGCAATCTCGGATCGGTTTACACGGTCAGGCACTGGCAGCGAGCTCGCAGGGCTTCACCCAATATGATCCCACTTTGCCTGTCCGAGCTGATGGGTCACGACACGCTCGAGGCGTCGACATTCCTTGTTTCACTCCCAAAGCTACAGGAGAGGTTGCGCAGGTTTTCAAACCCATTTCCAGGTTCCGTAACGCGCACGCGGCTCAGCCAACTGGCGAAGCTCTCCGCTGCCTTTCGCAGTTTTTGCGGCCGACTGACCCAGGCCAATTCACATTAACGGTGGTCAATCAGTGTCACACAGCTCATACAGCGTGACCCAAACCTCGTCGCCGCCCCAGACGCGGACCCCCACCCCACCGACGGGGAGGCGCAGCACCGCCGTGGGCCTCTCCCTCCCCCCGAGCGCGCCCAGCCGTCTCCCGCCCGAGAGACGGTGAAGATCGCCGTTGCCAGAGGCCGCTGACCGTGCGCTCCTCTTTCACCTGGGCGGTGATGTAGATGATTGGCTTGGCGATGAGCGTGGCTTCGGTGAACTCGTTGCGGCCGTAGTGCTGCTCCGGCTCGGCGATGGCGCAGCAGGCTTGCAGGAATAGCTTGAAGCGCTCGTGGGCGGCGATGATGAACGGGTTCAGCGCTTGCAAATGGCCGGCCTCCTCCCCGAACTGCCGGATGCCGCGAGGCCGTAAGCGGGGGGGGGGGGGGGGGAGGAGGGCACCCACAGCGATACGGCCGCTCCTGGATCACAACGCTCAACACTACCTTGCGAATGGTAGCTGAGGTACACATTCCTTGATATCCTTCTTCAATATTATTTTCTCCGCGGTAACATGTTCCGAAAAAAAACTCGAAGGGCCTGTGCGCCGCACGTCCAGTCCCCCTCTAACGCCGTTCCGCCTTTCAGCAGACCACACCGCCACCTACCCCCTTCTTGCTGGCGGCGAACTGCAGGATCTTGGCGATGCTGCCCAGGTTGCGGCGCTGGTCGGGCGTCATCGCCTGGTCCGCCGGCAGCGAGACGATGTCGAACGCGTCCGGCGCCACGATAGCCGAGTTGATAAAGCGATAGTACACCAGGTTGCCGACCACCTGCGAGGCGGCGGAGCGGGGCGTGGCAGGCGGGACACGTGCAGCGGATGTGACGCATGGCGGATATGTGCTGGATTTGATGCATAATTGTTGTCACATGTGACGGATGTGACGCATGACGAGTATGATGTGCTGAATTTGACGCATGATTGTTATGACGTGTGAGGGATGTGACGTGTGACTAATATGACGTGTGCCCGATGTGACGTGTGAGATGTGGCGTTTGACTGATGTGATGTATGGCGGATATGACGTGTGCCTGATGTGACGTGTGACGGATATGATGAGCTGAATTTGACGTGCGATTGTTGTGACGTGTGACGTATGTGAGTGTGACAAATGTGACGTGTGACGGATGTAGCATGTGGCACATGTGACGAGTGACGGATGTGACGAGTGACGGATATGGCGAGTGACGGATGTGACGTTGTCGGATGACGTGTGACTGATGTGACGGCTGTGGCGTGCAGGACGCGTGTGGCGGACGTCGCCGGTGACGGGAGGCAAGAGACCACCTCCAACAGCTGCAGCTCGGCACGAGCCCAGAGCGTGAACCATATTATGTCGTGCGGGTTCTCATAAGCCTTATATACACCCTGCGTACTGCTATTGCATACCGCGGGTGACGCGAGGACGTCTGGCACGACGCTTCTGCTCACAGCCATCGCGACGGCCAACAACTTCGGCCACGCTCATGTTCCGATCCTGCCTATTTACGCTTCGAGGAGCAGAGGTGGTTCAACCATTCAGCACCTGCAGGGAAACCGGCTGGCCCCCAGAAACGCAGGCAGAGCGCCGACGTGTCTCACCACGGTCGTTCTAGCCGGTGCCGCGTCGTGCTCAGCGCACACAACAGACCCGACACCGGCGACCTTCGCCGCCTTCCGACGCCGGCACCGACCTTGAGGATGTCCTTCTCGGGCGCGTCCGGGAACTTTTCGTGCAGCGCCCGCTTCAGCACCTTGGCCGAGTACAGCAGGCAGTAGGGCAGCTCGTCGACGGCGTTGAAGATCTCGTCCAGGAAGATGTTGCTGGCCTCCTTGAGGCAGTGGATGGCGCGGTTGAGGCGGCGCGCCACCTCGCCATGCTTCAGCGCCTCCTCCTGGCTGACCGCGTACGGCAGGCCGCTGCCGGACAGCCGGGAGGGGTCAGCGATCGCCTCCACTGGGCTGGACCGATCGGCACCCAGCGCAGGACCCACGAGTGTGACAGAACTTTGGTTTTAGGAATCCCTACTCTATATAGCGCCTGTAATACGAGGCAATGTCCACACGAAAAGGTAGCATGCAAACCGAGATGGCTTGTTTTTCTCCGACGAAAAACAGTATTAAGTACCTAAAACTAAAAGAAGAAAAACACCAAAAGATACCGAAAAAGTAACTTAAGCAACTAACACAGGCAGCTCAAACAGGAGGGACACAGCCCACACCACCCGCAAATCTAAAGCTCCAAACGGCACCCCCTGCCAGTTAACACCAAGCACGAGCACAGGAACCGCTCGCTGCGGAGCACAGCTCTCGTGACAGAGCGGTGAGCAGCTCTCCTGGGCCGGACGGTGCCACCGCCGGCACCTGGCCGCGCCGCTGGGCGCGGGACTCACCAGGGCTGTCCGCTCTGCGCCTCCTGCTGGTTGACCCAGTGCCGGTAGATCTCGACCGGGTTGGTGTTGATGAGGAGCGTGCGGTCGCTGAGCACGCGCTCCACCAGCGGGCCGAGCACGGGCCGCAGCGGGTGGCGTCGGCTGTACTGCACGATCATGCGCACCACCATCGGGTTGCCGCTCACCACGTCCGAGAGCTGGTCCACGCGCGACCTGGCGGCCAGCGGCGCCCGTCGGACCGGCGCACACGCGCCACAGCCGGCGGCCGGCCCGTACTCCTCGGGCAGGGGAGGCTCGGCCGCGTGGACCCTCTCGCCAAACGATCGTGTGTCATTAGAACGGACGACGTAAGGAGCCGGGGCTTCCCAGAAAATAACGCCGCGGGACGCGGAGAGTTCGCGATCATCCTTGCAGCACCAGCGCTCACGGATAGGCACGAGGAGGAGAGAATCGCATTCACGCTGTCTGATCCACGTGTCGCCAACCAAGAGCGACCAGGAGCGACGCCGGCAGGGCGATCTTAAGAGGAATATCGCCCAGTCACACACCACATGCCATGCAAACCTTAGAATTTCAAAACTGGCAATCGGCTTGGGCATCCATAGCGACCAAACATCTAGACAGCCCAGGGGTAACATGAACACATCTCCCATATCTGCAGGTCTAGGTAACAGCCCCACCTTACCGGGCTGACCTGACAGCTCCAGCTTACCCGGCTGACCTGACAACACCAGCTCCCAGGCTACCTCCCAGGCTGCCCTGTCCATTGGACGCGACCTGGACAGACCAAACCTCAGCGGCTTCCGGTGCTAACATGACCCGCCTACCTCCCGTGACTGACCTGACCCTCCCAGCCTCCCCGGAATATTGTGACCTCGAGAGCTCCTGCGAGCTAGCCCGGTGCTAACCTGACCTACTCACCCCGTGACTGACGTGGTCCATCTACCTCCTGGTACCGACCAAACACTGCTAAACCCCCGTGGACTACCGTGACCTCCCGGTTCTGACCCGGCCTTGCTCCCGTCACTGACCTGACCTCCTCCTGGAGCGCGATGCGGAACAGGCTGACCAACAGGTACTCCTCGCGGTCGTTGGTGCCGTAGTTGAAGACGCTGGGCACCACGGACTCGAGGAAGCGGCCCGACTGGCCGGGCGGCAGCGCGAACACCAGCCGCGCCAGGTACGCCGGGCGCGTCTGCAGCTGGTAGAACAGCTGCTGGTACAGCGCCAGCCGGTCCCGGCTCTCGCGTGTCAGCGCCTGCCCGGGTCAGAGGCGCCGTCAGGGAACAGAACAGCGGTGTTTTGATGCTCTCATCAATGCGGTGAAATGCAGTTCGTCGAACAGTTTAGCGCTCACTAATACGGTCAGATGCGGCTCGTCTCACAGTCCAGCATTCACTCAAACGGTGAGATGCAGCTCGTCCCACAGTCTGGCCTAGGGTGATGCCATTCGCGCAACCAGAGAATGGGTGTTTACTGCAACAGCCGTGTAAAAACCCTTGCGGATCGAGTGTAACTGCCATTAGCGAGCAGGAGTCCAGTTTACTGCTTGGAGATGACAAATACGAGAGCTCGACATTCCAGGACGAAAGACACGCCGTGATCGAAATAGACATCTAACCTTTTGAACACTGCATGCACATGAGCATTACAAACAGCTGGCGACAAAACCCGCGTGAAGCAATCTGCAGACACGACTCAACCGGCACGGGCTCAACGGCTGTGGCGTGCCACAGCGGACAGCTCAGATCGTCAGGAGACTGACGGCAGAGACGGGAGACCATGTCCTGTCCCCACTGAATGCATCATGAGCCTGGCCACGACGACGCCACGAGAGGCGGCGCTGAGGCTGTCCGCCGCCAGCCTCCGGACTCGGTGACCGTTCGGCACCAATGACCCCGAGTGTCGGCTCACCTTGAGCCCCTGGCCGCGGGAGAGCGTCCCCAGCTTGTCGCCGCTCTTGTTCACGGCGTCCATCGTCTTGCTGTGCATCAGCACCTCCTAAAAAGCGTCGGGGAGTGACGTGAGACCGGCGAAACACACCACAACATCCTGCACAGACACATCCAATATCCCGACCCAAGCCGGCTCTGGCCCAGCAGCCCGAGCCCAGCCGGCTCTGGCTTCAGTAGTCAAAACCCAGCCGGCTCTACCTTCGATGGGCCGAACTCAGCCGGCTCTGGCTTCAGTAGCCCGAACCCAGCCGGCTCTGGCCCAGCGGCCGAGCCCAGCCGGATCTGGCCAAGCAGCCTGAACCCCGTCGGCTCTGGCTTCAGCGGAGTCTCACCTGCAGTGTGATCCGATTTTTCACCAGCAGGCCGATCTTGACGTCGAGCGAGTCCAGGTCTCTCTCCAGCATCTGGTTCTTGCGAATCATTTGGGCCACGTCACCCTTCAATTTCTGCTCACGCATAAAAACGGGCGCCGTATTAGAACCAGCGCCACATACATACCCCCTATAATAACGGTTAATTGTTTGTCATGGCATGCAAGGTTGGTCTCTTGCGGGTCGTCGATCGATCAGCTTGGTCCCAAGATCCCAAAGCTGGAGGTCCCAAGTGTCCGAGCAGCCCTGCTGGTGGTGTTCCGTGACAGGTGTCACTCACCGGACAACGCTGGCTTTACAAAGACGTGCGTGCGGCTGCAAGCACGGCCGCTACACCCGTGTGCGGCTTCGAGGGTCCCACGAACCGAGGGATTCCCCTCACCAGCGCCTCCACGCGGACGCGACAGTGGCGCCCCTCGGGTCCTTCGCACGCCTTCTGTGCCTCTCCTTCCCCCAACCCAGCAGAAGCCCGGCTGAGCTGGCGCCGCCACCTGACACGGGCCGCCTGTGGACCTCCGCCGTCCTGCGCCCCTTTCCTTGGGTCCGAGCCTCCCGCGCCGCCGGTGCGCTCGGCGGACGGCCTTACGCGATGGGGGAGGACGACGGGCAGCGGCGGCTTAGCGCCTCGATGGCTCTGGCTCGTCAAAAGCCGGTCTTGAGGTGATAGCCAAGGAGAGATGTCGAGACAGGTGTGGTCCGTTTCGGAGCGCCGTCAAGGAGCATGGCAAGGGAGGGTGGGAGGGCGCCGGCGGTCGGCCGCGCCTGCCCGCCGCTGTACGGTCTGTGCGCCAGGCGCCCGTCCCTGTGCTCCGGCCGGGGCGCAGCCGCCGACCGCCGCCAGACCACCGCCTTTGATCGGCGCTCAGATACTTCCAAGTCCTTCAAGAGAAGTTGTGCACAAACGGAACCCAAGTTTACGTTACGACAGTGTGCCCTGTCGTCAGCTGGCTAAGCGACCGCATTAGATCGCATGCCGCTTTCACATCACGGACGACACCCTCCGCCGTGCCCCCAAGCGCGCTGTGGCGCCACCTCTGCGCAGCTGGTGGCTCCACCAGCACCGTGCGTACCCAATTCACGCTGCGCCGTCCGTCGTGGCAGCCCATCAGAGCATACGAAATGCTTTTTTTCTTCTTTGGTTATACACCAAAATGTATAAAATATGGTGCGCATTTACTTAATGCTCTTGCGCAATGTGTCAGGTGATTTCCACGAACTTTGTGCGGCGCGTGTTTATTGTAAATGACTTCCCACGTGGGACAGGCATATGTTTTTTTTCTGTTCCCAGGACTTATCAAAAATGTGCTTTTAAATACAAAATCTGCTCTTATCAGCTTGACATACGACACGTCTCTGCACGGTGACCAGTATATCAAAATTATTTTTGAGCACTGGTGAGGTTTTTGAAGTTTGCTCCCGCCCTGCCGCGAGGCTGCCTGGCATTGCACTACAGCCGGCATCGACCCACTCAAAACCCATTTGGAAAGGAAGTTAGAAGATTGAAGGCTTTGTTGTTAAGTCAAAAGCTGCAGCACTGATATAAAAGAGGCCGCGTTTTCAATCGATAAATTCATATCACACTGTGGAGGGCCCCAAGCACTAGACCGTTAGCTGCCGTCAACACCAGTGTTTATTAAATGTGGTGTGTCAACAGTCCAGTTGTTGCTGCCGGCCTGTATGAATGACTGAATGAAACGAGAATCTCGCAACATCTAAGACGCTCTAACCCAACATTTTTTACGCAACAAGTGTTTTGGACAAAAGTTCATCTAAATAAATGTCGTCGAAACCCAAACAGCACGGTTGTCATCCGGGCTATTAATATATTTTCTACCCACGATGGTTATCATCGGAGTAACATAAGCAGGGGTGTAGTTTTCTGTTCAGTTGAAAGGGGTGCCAGACCGGAACTTTGAGCAAGTTGGCCAAAGCCGGCAGAACCCCGTTTTTTGACGTGTTTTGCGGTAAGTTATGTCATTTCTCACTGTTCAGCCCACCCCCTCCCACTCAACTCCTTTTGTCCGCGGCCCTCCACCCCTAGACGTGCGGCCGGTCGCCGGGCGGTGGCCGGAGCCGTCCCGCCGCTCCCCGACGCCGGCCGGCATACTCGCCTGCAGCTGCACCTCCTCCTTGAAGTCGGAGCCCTGCACGTCCAGCAGGTGGACGAACTTCCTCAGCAGCGACACGTCCGGTCGGGAGGCGGCAGCCAGCTGACGGAACTCGTGCCGCAGGCGGAGGCGGCGCCACCAGCGCTGCAGGCGCACCACGCTCGCCTCCTGGCGGCGGCCGCGCGCAGACGCAGTCGCGTCAAGGCACCGCCGCGGGGCGGGGGAGGGGGGGGGGGGGGCAGGGCAAGGTACGGTAGGAGGCCGCTCTGACGGCTGCTGCCGTGCAGCGGGTTACACGGTCGCCGGGTGGGAATTAGAGGTCCATGCATCTAGATCGTCCGCGACGCTTTGTGGCAACTAAGGCACGCTCTTATGCATCAGTTCTGTCCGTTTTAGCAAACGAGATTATGTAACGGCTACTTTGATTATTCACGCCAACGGGAAAGACAAGAAACGTCGCCACGGGTCTGGAAACACAACAGAGTAGTGCAATGAGGCGGCATTCCTCAACACTGCTTTACATCGCGCGAAGCAATTACCAAGGCGACAACACTTCGCGCCTCTGAACTCGGCACCCACCACCCTCACCCCTCCCACCACTCACGTGCGGTCTGAAGCGCTGCAGCAGCTGCTCCTCCTGCAGCTGGCGGCTGCGCAGCTCGTCGACCTCGCGGCGCAGCTGCTCGACGCGGGCCGCCATGCGCTGCGTGCGCTGCAGCAGGTAGGCCCGCCGCTGGCGCGCGCCCCGCCACCACGCCTGCCGCGACCGTCACCGGCCTGCCTCAGTCGGCTGGCCGCCAGCACGCCGCCACATGTGCGGTGGGCAGACTTGCCACGCGGTATACATAGCTATACATGTAAGTACAAGATTCATCTTAGTCTATTCATAAGTTCATCAGATTTACATTTAACTTTTCAGTCTAGCACAAGCAGAACCAGTTAAGCAAAGGGGTCTTGACGTCATCAGGACAGGTACACAGCCGCCAGCCCTTCGTTCCCCTGTCTCAGCGAGGCGCCGCTCCCGCCAGGTCGGCCAGCCTCCGCCGTCACCCCCGGCCGCCCACCTGAATGCGGACGACCTCTGGCTCGTGCCGGCTGTAGAGGAGACGGCGCTGGCGGAGGCGGCGGCGGGCCAGCAGGCCGCGCGCCGCCGCCTGCAGCGGCACCAGCCAACGCTCGGGCCGCTCCCGGCCGCCGTTCGTCTCGGTCACCAGCCGCTGTCGGCGAGGGCCGAGCCAGTCAGGCCCGCCAGCGGACGCACGTCAGCCGGACGAGGCACGGAGGTGGCGAGATCCGGCTGAGATCAACAATGGCTGGGTCAGGCTGGTGTTCGGGGCAGCCAACAGCGGCCGGCAGGTTTCTTCACCAGAAGCGACTTGGACTCCACTTACTTTACATTTGTTTACGACTTACCTACCTTGTTACGTAACGCTGCTGGTGAAAAAAAAAATACAACAGAACAAAACCTTCCCTCGGGATCGAACAACGGCAAGCGGGATGAAACTAAAGCCACGTATCAACGTGACAGTTTAGCGCCCGGGCGCCCAGGCACGAGCGAGCCCCACTCCCCTGGAGGGAGCGCTGGTCCAGCGCAGCGTCGGCGAGCTATCCGCGGAGCCCAGGCACGAGCGCGCCGCACCCACCTGGAGGGAGCGCTGGTCCAGCGCGGCGTCGGCCAGCTGCCCGGCCCAGGCACGAGCGCGCCGCACCCACCTGGAGGGAGCGCTGGTCCAGCGCGGCGTCGGCCAGCTGCCCGGCCCAGGCACGAGCGCGCCCCACCCACCTGGAGGGAGCGCTGGTCCAGCGCGGCGTCGGCCAGCTGCCCGCGGTTCGGCTGGTGCCAGGTGACCAGACCCGTCGCCAGGTGCAGGAAGGCCTCGTTCGCGCCTCCGACCGAGTGCGGGATCCAGCCCTCGTCGGAGCCCTGCCAGCGCCGAGACGGACGTCATCCCCGTGGGAACCGGCCTGACCTCTAGGGTAACCTGGACCTCTGGAGGGTGACATGCCGCCCACTCAAGCCAGAAGGCTGCGATTGCAGGTGCAACTTATCGCGGTTACCAATACCAGACACGGCCCGCAGCCAGCGCTTGTCCGATGAGATAGCCCCACCTTCAAGTGGTATAGCCCACCTACCCACCCAACCACCGCGGCACAGACATTCCCTGCACCGCCGTCCCTGGCGGAGCCCCAAGACGCTCGGCTGTCAGCCCAGCTGCTGCGCCAGGGGGCTCGCCGAGTCCTCCAGCCGGACCGTACCGGGCCGGACGGGCGGCGGCCGGCGCTGAGGCGGCGCAGGGCGCGCAGGTAGTGCTCGGCCAGGCTGGGCGAGACGTCCCGCAGGCCGAGGCAGGGCAGCTGCAGCAGCGCCACCAGCTGGCCGGCCGGCAGCACACTCAGGTCGGCGGCGCGCAGGTCCGACAGCGCCGCACACGCTGGGGACGAGGCGGAGGGGCCTGGTCAGATCGGCGGCGCGTAGGTCGGACAGCGCCACACACGCTGGGGACAAGGCGGAGGGGGCTGGTCAGGTCGGCGGCGCGCAGGTCGGACAGCGCCACACACGCTGGGGACGAGGCGGAGAGGGTCTGGTCAGGTCGGCGGCGCGCAGGTCGGACAGCGCCACACACGCTGGGGGCGAGGCGGAGGGGGCTGGTCAGGTCGGCGGCGCGCAGGTCCGACAGCGCCACACACGCTGGGGACGCGGCGGAGGGGGCTGGTCAGGTCGGCGGCGCGCAGGTCCGACAGCGCCACACACGCTGGGGACGAGGCGGAGAGGGCCTGGTCAGGTCGGCGGCGCGCAGGTTGGACAGCGCCACACACGCTGGGGGCGAGGCGGAGGGGGCTGGTCAGGTCGGCGGCGCGCAGGTCCGACAGCGCCACACACGCTGG